GCAAATAAATTCATAAAAAATCCTACAATGTGATTTTCTGGATTTTTTTCCCTCAATTTGTCTGTCATAGTTGACGTGTACCTATGATGAAAATGACAGGCCTCTCTCATCTTTTTAAGTGGGAGAACTTGCACAATTGGTGGCTGACTAAATACTTTTTTCCCCCACTGTATGTAAAGACAAGATTAAATCAAGAATAGTCTGATGGGTGACAATATTAGCCTATCACTTGTGAATTATATATTATCACTTGTGAATGATGCCCAGCATAAGAAACAATGCCTTTTTTTGCGACTTTTTCGAATCATAGTCGCACACCTCATGTAGCCTAGCCCATAGGCCTATATGTTTTGATAAGGTTTGTATCACAACTAAAGTGGGCAAATAACTTCTTAAAATTAGGCACATTCATCCGCTTTACAAGGGGTGTAGAGCCTAACTGGCATACATAAGCGGTGCGTGAGTTTCAAGTTTGGGGAAGTACATTTTCACCATAAAAATGCACCTTTTATAATAAAAGCGTTACATGCATAATTGCATTTGCGGTCACTTTTGATAATGGTGTTTTCCCGCTAATGGAACATTTGCACTTATAGCCTACTGCCATGTGCGAATTGCTGCGCTTATAATGTGAAGAAATAGCCTAATAGCTTATCAACATTTTAAGCTAAACGTTCTGATCTGTTGGGTCAGCCACATTGCGTAAAAAAAGGTTTTTTGATGGTAGTGGTTGTATTAATTTGGGATCTATCGCATCCCACCGCTGTCCCAGACTATGTTTGGAATATTTATTTCTCGCACAGAATAGGTCGACTTTTGTACTATGGGGGATAGTAGATTCACATAGGCTAGTGCTTTTGCTGTTCATTAGGCCTACCCATCTTGTTGGCTGACGAAAGTAAATGTGGACAGTTCTTCCAATTATCTTCAATATGCACCTCGGAATTGGACAAGGACGCGCGCAGTTGCGTCCCGATGTGTCTGTCTTCACTTGTAGCCTGTGAGAAAGATCTGATCACGTGAGTGAGAGGCGCTTCGGAGCACGCAGCACTCCGGGCTAAGAGCCACTAGCCGCAAAAGGCATGGATTTTTTTGTGGTGCATAATGGCCACACAAAGGGGGATGCCGCCATGAAATTCGAGGCATTATCAAGTGCTTGTCAAATTGTGAATGAGATACTTATGAAGTGTGTACAGCCTGCGCAAAAAAAAACAAAGCAGAGCTCATGCCTTTCAAGCTACTTTTTTCAAATCAATCAATCAAATGTATTTATAAAGCCCTTTTTACATCAGCAGATGTCAAAGTGCCTATACAGAAACCCAGCCTAAAACCCCAAACAGCAACAATGCAAATGTAGAAGCATGGTGGCTAGGAAAAACTCCCTAGAAAGGCAGAAACCTAGGAAGAAACTTAGAGGAACCAGGCTCTAAGGGGTGGCTGTTCCGGGTGGAGATTATAACAGTACATGGCCATTTAAGGCCAGATTTTTCTCCAAGATGTTCAAACGTTCATAGATGACCAGCAGGGTCAAATAATAATGACGGTGGTTGTAGAGGTTGCAACAGGTCAGTACATCAGGAGTAAATGTCACTTGGCTTTTAGAGGTTGAAATAGCAGGTGCAGTAGAGAGTTGAAAACGGCAGGTCTGGGACAAGGTAGCACGTCCGGTGAACAGGTCAGGGTTCCATAGCCGCAGGCAGAAGAGTTGAAACTGGAGCAGCAGCACGAACAGGTGGACTGGGGACTGCAAGGAGTCATCAGGCCAGGTAGTCCTGAGGCATGGTCCTAAGGCTCAGGTCTTCTGGGAGGGGAGGGAGAGGGAGAGAAATTAGAGGGAACGTACTTAAATTCACACAGGGCACCGGATAAGACAGGAGAATAACACCAAATTTAACAGACTGACCCTAGCCCCCCGGCACATAGACTATTGCAGCATAGATACTGGAGGCTGAGAGAAGGGAGGTCGGGAGACACTGTGGCCCCGTCCGACGATACCCCCGGACAGCGCCAACCAGGCAGGATATAACCACACCCACTTTGCCAAAACACAGCCCCCACACCACCAGAGGGATATCAACAGACCACCAACCTACCACCCTGAGACAAGGCTGAGTATAGCCCACGAAATCATCATTAGAGTCGCATGATGCAGCCTTACAATGTTTTAAAAAATCAAAACATATAGCCCAATGTTTGTAGAACAACTAAAGTTACATTAATAACTCTAAATTAAGCATATAGGAATACCTATTTCTTTGTTAACCGCTCAACACAGAATAGCCGCATGTGCGCACTCCCTCAAATCATTTGGAGAAAATATCCTTTCTATTTTATTCAGCTTTGTTCAATTGTATTCTTCATACTATAAAATAATGCCACGGAATTCTAAGCAAATCTTGTCTGCTAAATGAACTAGTGTAGCCCACAGCCATTTGGCATAGGCAGACAAGGACCTAAGATAAGGAAAACTCAGAGTATTCTGTTCTTCTGAAATAGACTACATTTTCTTCAAATCATGCTCCTTTAGACCTGTCTGAAATAAATAATTTACATTTGTACATTTTAGTCATTTAGCAGACGCTCTTATCCAGAGCGACTTACAGTTAGTGAGTGCATACATTTTTTTATTTTATTGTGAAGGTGTAGGCTATATTACATGGGTTTATTATACTTTTTGTAGATGTTCCAAAGGTCTGCATCAGTGGCTTGTAGGCTGTGTGTGGAAGCCAGGAGATGCTAAATATGTTTGTTAATTAACGGTAAATTACCGTGAGACTGTCAGTTACTTGCTTGACAATCACCGGCTGATGAAATTGTGACCGCCACAGCCCTAGTTGAGACGCGACTGATTTCCTATTTATTTATTTTATTTTTTAAATTATCTGCATGCCTACAAAAGGGAGGCCGCGGGCCGCCTGTTGCCCATCCCTGATGCAGGCTATACCTGTATTGTATTTGTGCGCTATTGGCTAAAACGCACGTGCCAAGACCAGTTGGTACATTCGCTATATAACACATTTTTACAGACGAAACCATCAGTGGAGTTGAAAATGTGATGGAAACCCATTTAACTTTTTTTTTTAAAAATGTTATTCGGTACATGGCAATTTAATCGCAAAAGTTATTTTTATGTGCATCACGTCATCACACACAGTTGAATGGAAACACCCCTCTGGCATATTGTTTTTAATGTGGATTTTAGAACATTCACATTAAAATGTCGCCAATTTAATGGAAACCTCAGGCCTACGCTTGCGTCGGTAAAATCTGGATACATTTTGAAACACTGACATTTTTATATTTTGCTACTTTGTATTCGCTCTGTCCTATCATTCAGTGTAGGGCTGGGCGGTATACTGGTATTGATGCACGGACCGGTTTGGGTTTTTACTTTACCCTCTATAACGGTATTTGAATGTTTGGTTTGTTAAATGTGATACGGCATGTGTAACGTCCATTTTTATAGTTTACTTTGCTACTTCAGTCCGCTCTCTCTCAATTCAATTTCAATTTCAATTTAAGGGCTTTATTGGCATGGGAAACGTGTGTTAACATAGCCAAAGCAAGTGAAGTAGATAGTAAACAAAAGTGAAATAAACAATAAATATTAACAGTAAACATTACACTCAGAAGTTTCAAAAGAATAAAGAACATTTCAAATGTCATATTCTCTCTCTCCATGCCGCTTTCCACACAGACCTAGCCCCTGTCACTCAAGGAGCACATTTGTTGTTCCTCGACCACAAGACTCCTGCGTTCAGTCTACATGGTCAATGCAGCGCATGCAACAATGTTGATGACAACGACGCTGTTTTCACTTTGCTTCTTAATATAAATCCACTAGCGTTCTATAATTACACTATTAGTTTGTTTCTTACATCTGCCAACAGCTAGTTTGTCTTTTCTTAGCAAGTTGCCCCTAAATCTTGTTAGCCGCTAATCGCTAGCTAGCTAATAAATGTACTGAGTCAGAGCAAACGTAAATATCTATACAGCCTGATAATACCAGTGATGGTGTGTAGACCTAAATCAGCATGCTGTTTGTGCAACAGTGTCTTCTAAATCAGAGGAATATGCGAAGTAAGAATATGTTAGCTACATGAAGTAACTAAGAGAGAACATTCAATGTAGCCAAAGATTATACGGTCCCCTAGGAAACACTTTGGTTCCTACCCGTCACAATCCTCCCCGTGGCATTTTCATTCGTTGTCATGTCAAACAACACTGTATTCAAAGTGTCCACCATTATATTCTAACAATAGAATCTGAATAAGTCCATTTCCATGATTTCATTCAATTTCCATGATTCCAACAGTTCACCCAAGTGTTTTGCTCTAAATCGCAAGTCAAATCGTAATTGCAACATTTGGTAAAAATTATAAGGCATAGATTGTTTGCCCATATCGTGCAGCCCTACGTCGCAGTGTGGAAATTATCTCAAATGAGTGCAGGAAATGCAGAAATGTATGAAAAAATGATTTTGGGTTTAAGTTTAATTGAACAGTATAAAACAATCAGAATGGAGAAAGACCCTTTGAAATCACTTAGAATGTATGTTTTGCACCCTAGATTCACGCACTACTCATAAAGCAAATTTAGAACTTTTTATACAGTGATATGATATTTTGGCCACATCGCCCAGCCCGAATTCAGTGCACACATGTTTGTTTACATCACCAAATGAAAATGGTGTGTTTTGCATTTGTCGTTTTTTATTTAAATGAATAGCCTAGTTGCATTTCATGCATTATATTATCAGTTGAAAGTTATCCTTTTTAGATCAAATAATGTTGATTCTATAGGCTACAGAAATACATTTGCCAACTACAAAAGCAGAACACTAAACTGCAAAGTTTCTGGTAGGCTATAAAACGCTCCTCTGCAATAATCTATTCAATAGACAAACAAATAAGACTGCATAAAACAATTAAACCAAATCAAACGGAAGTTGGCAAACAAACAAAAACGAATTAACTTTTAATTGTGACAGCTGTCTTTCCAGGGATCAGCAAAATGAATTTCCTCCTGGAAACCCTTCAAGTGATCGTAATGTCGATCTATTACAACATGGAGGCGTTTGTCCAACTGTTCATCCCACTCAAGAAGAAAAATGTCACCGGTGAAATCGTCCTCATCACTGGGGCGGGCAGCGGCATTGGCCGGCTCATGGCTGAGAAGTTTGCCCCACTGGGCGTCTCTCTGGTCTTGTGGGACATCAACCAGGAGGGCATGAAGGAGACTACAAGGCTAGTGAAGGAGAAAGGGGCGACTAGGGTCCACTACTACCTGTGTGACTGCAGTGACAAGGCCGAAGTCTACAGAGTGGCTGATCAGGTAAGCAACCTGATTCTTATAAACTAGTCTTCAATCAAGACTATACTTGGCTGAATTAGTGTTGCTGCTTTGTTGGAAAAGCCTGCATGACACTGACAAGCCTATTTTTACATTTAGGCATTAGGAGCTCTTATCAGCGCCAGGCATAGGTTAATGCTTGCTCCTGGGATGACAGATAGAGGTGGGGATTGACCGCGACCTCGGTTGGCACAAACGTCTTAACACTAGCTACTGCGCCTTATGTCTCCTGTGATAATAAAGAGAGATTCCGGAGGGTTGAAAACGACCTTGTTTTTTTTTAAAACCTCCCATTTTGGACTCGACTTGTCAATGTATGGCTCATACATGCGTAATAAACTATCTACATTCCTCCCCCAGCGGAAAAAGGCACAGAATCCTTAGTTTAACCTGCCATCATTTAGTGCAAGAGCTCTACGCACTCGTTTCTGTCGTGTAGTGAACATGCACACTGAAGCAAGTGGGATGAGTAGCTGCATGCGCTTGCCATTTGTTATTTTGAGAACAGCGAGAGTACATCGATCACATCCATGCATTAGAAGTTAAATCGATTAGGTCTCGGTAGAAGTGTCATTTCTCTCTTTCAATGCATTTCTCTGCAAACCAGAAAATGTTGTGCACTAAAGATATTGTAGCCACACAAATACATTTAGAAGGTAATTGTCAACCTTATCAGCAACACTGACAACCTTTTTAAAGGGATACTTCGGGATTTTGGCAATGAAGCCCTTTTTCTACTTCCCCAGAGTCCGATGAACTCGTGGATGCCATTTTTGTCTCTGTGTCCATTAGGAAGGTATTTTGGTCATAAAGTCAGTATATTCCAAAACTGAGTTTTGTGAGATTTGTGTAATGGAGTTCATCATGACTTACACAGGGTAGGGTTTTGATTTCGATCATGCCCACTAACACGGGATGGTAATGCCTAGGGAGAATTGTCATGCATGTGCTGATTGCTCTCTATCCAATCGTACGGCAGAACACAGACTGTGAGACATATTACGCAGCGCCCTGGACTTGTTTACATAAGATAACATGTTGCCAATGTTATGTTGAAAGAACACTTGGCCCCTAAACCCTTTATAGAGTGGCCACTTGCTGATGTGTTTGATAGTGTTCACTTGAGTCTGTCCAGTGCTTGACTTGGACTGAAATAGGAGCCGGTAGCCTACTCAGTTTGGGTGCCGGTAATGTTTTATATTTAGTTGCAGGAAATCCACTATACTTTTTCGCTAATATTCTATAAGAGGTGCAGGAACTCAAGCAGTAGAAAATGTGAGGTGCCGGTACACAGTTCTATGCCCTCCTGCCCAAGTCGAGCACTGAGTCTGCCACTGTTTTAGGCAAAATGAGAATTGAGACGATGCGCACTTACTGTACATCCCAACTGCCACTTGTCAAGATTCTAAATCCATTTGTGAGCATCTTGTGTCCTGCCGCGACCTGTTTTGTAACATGATTTGCTATGAAATTGTGCCAGACAGACGCACTCTCTGGTAATAGATAGTGAGGAAAGTTGTAAAAACATAACAGCACCTTAGCACACACGCACTCGCCAGTGACTTGATAAGCTGGTTGATAAGCTGGTTGATAAGCTGATTTTAGTTAACGTGGCTTCCCTGCTCAATGTGCCTGCAAGCTACTACTAGCTAGCTTCATTGACAAACGCTGAATTTAGCTAGCTAGTGATTTCGGGCACTGATAAACGGCGTTTAGCTTGTGCTTTATTTACGATAGTTTGAAAGCTTGCTGTCCTGTGCAGCAGCAGACTAGTCTGCAGTGCACTACTAGTTTTCATGCACATTTTTGAACTTGAGAAATACTGCACCAAACCCCAATTGTGTGACTAAAACGTCCTTGACAAAAATGTCAATGAATGACAGATTTCTTGATTTATCTTAGATTAATTCTGATTTATTTTGAGGAAGTGGTATGCTATTGGCTATGTTGTTGCTACGGAGTCTCGAGTGACAAACAACACTAACTGCCAGGGTACGATAACACACCCACATCGAACCACACCCCCAAAACTGAAATCTCGTTTTTGTTAATGAGCAACAGAAAAACACATCGAGTTAAGTCGCTCTTGAAATACCCCCCCCCCCAGCTTCAACCTGTTACCCATGTCCATAATTACACAGCAACAATGTTATATAATCCTTACCATAAGTGGGTCGCCAGGATGTAGGAAACAAAAAGATGTCATGTGTGTTTTGAAGTAAAGAGTGTGATAAAAGTTAACACGTCTATGTTTAGGTCAAGCGAGAGGTGGGGGATGTAAGCATTCTCATAAACAACGCAGGCATCGTCACGGGCAAGAAGTTCATGGATGCACCAGACTCCCTCATTGAGAAAACCATTGAAGTTAACACCATGGCACACTTTTGGGTGAGCTAATGAGATGACTAGCTCACATCTGTTACTGTCTTGTCTGGTTTCTCTCACTTGCTGTCTTTATCAGTGCAGGAATTTAAATGTGAAAGCATTATCCTAAATCAGCCAATACGTTTATAAAAATGTGATGGCTCTAACCTCCATTGTAGGCCTATGTCCCTTGTAGCGGCAATTCCACCCATAACCATCAAATGAACACAGATCTGTGTACTGTTCTTAAGTTCTCCCGCTAATTTCTCTCTAGACATATAAAGCCTTCCTCCCAGCGATGACTGCCAACAACCACGGTCACCTGGTCAGCATTGCCAGTTCAGCTGGTCTGATTGGTGTCAATGGGCTAGCAGGTAAATCACCCAGTATGCATGTGTGCATGACATACACCAATGTTCCTCAATACTGGCCCTGGAGAGCGAGAGGATGTGCAGGCTTTTGTTCCGGTCCAGCACCAAGACACCTGAAGGCTATTCAATGTTTGATGACTGGCTTAATCAGGTGTTGGTGCAGGGCAAGAACAAAAGCCTGCACAGTGAAATGCTTACTTACGGGTCCTTTTCCCAACAATGCTACACACCTTGTGGCCATTGTGCAGAACATTGCCTTTGTCTATTCTGTAAACTCTGGGCAGTACATCATGCAATCAGAGACCTACTGTGGAGCTGATCGATACAGATGTTATCAGTCGACCTTGAATGGGGTAGAGGTTTAACTTGTTAATGTACTGTAGTTGGGTCCATAGACAGACTGGGGTAGATGGGGCTGAAAATGGTTCAAGGACAGTCCATTTCAACATTTAATTGACGTTGGCATTGCCAATGCAATTTCACAATTTAGTTTAGACAAACATTATCTTGCTGTAGAGACCTTTGTTTAACCTGCTCTAGTACTGTTTGCCAATTCATGTTTCTCTCTCCTGATAGATTACTGTGCCAGTAAGTTTGCTGCTATTGGCTTTGCTGAGTCTGTGGCTCTGGAGCTGCTGGCTACGGGGAAGGATGGAGTCAAGACTACCATAGTGTGTCCATACTTCATCAATACTGGCATGTTCGATGGCTGCAATACTAAGTAAGTTATCTGCCATAAGAGGTGTTATACAGGATTTAATTTCTGACTTTAATGTTGTCATGTTATTCTTAATGCTTTTATAAAGGTTTATTATCCTCCTTGCATATATTTAATAGAATTTCTCATTAAAAGTTTCTCAGATTGAATCCTGCTGAAAGTGTAGACAAATACAATCCCTTTAAATGCCAGGGCCAGTTCTGTTTTTATGAAACTCGACGAGAGACCTTTGAAATTGAGTTGGGTTCTTTTGAAGCATGAAATTGAGGGCCTTGTCTCACCATTGAAAGGGCAAAATAGATGATTGTGTTGTGGGAGGACTTAGGAAAGTGGCTGGGAGACTTCCTCTCTGAGCTGTGTGTTACTAATGCCTATTGTCACAACACACTATGTATAAAAGGTCACGCACCTAGGTCAAGTATGTGGACTGATACTCAACGTTGCTAGTCAACATTGCTAGCCCTATGGTACACTTAAGTGATAATGCCAGAGAAGCTGGTGTTTGGAGGATATATTGGCAGGGGTGTTCGTCGAGGGCCGGCAAACCGTGCTAATATATCCTCCAAACACTGGCTTCGAGGGCATTATTACTTTAATACAATGAGTTACCAACATATTCAAATAAAGATTGACATATTTTCATTAAAAACTTTAATTTGATTAATTTATTCATACTATTTTATCCTTCCACAAGATATAGTCCCGACACAAATAAAGGGTTCCTACCCAAGCCGGCTGGTCGTTCGTTCTATCAGTTCGGTTGCCAGAGACGCGACCCAGTCGTTCAGTCTTTTTGTTCTGTATCTATGGACGCGACCCAGTCGTTCGTTCTAAATGTTCCATTGCCATACTGGCTGGCAACGTTCTTCTTGCTTGCTAGCTTGCTAATTACGGCTAATTTAAGTGCAGCCAGTATAACAGCAAAGTAGCTGCATTTGTGTTTGTTTAAACTGTTTTCTAGTGACATTTATTTGGATAAATCTATAACAATGAGCTAATGATGCGCAATTTCACCTGGCATAGAAAATATGCGCTCTCGTCAGGACACAGTTGTTCAGAGGAGCTACCCAACAACACAGCTAACACAATCACTTCAAATTGAAGCTGGAAAGACAGCAAACTAGCTGCATTTCGTTGTAGTTGTTTCTATTGACATTTCTTTGTATATATCCATATAAATTATGCCAGCTGATTCATGACTGGCTGAGAAAAGATGCCTGTCTGTCTCATCCTGACTCCCGACATGTTCATTACTATGGGACAGCTGGAGATTTTAATATTGAAACAATGTTGCAAATGTCGGAGAGACGGACAGCAAGGTTTATACAAATCTCCGCTGTTGAAAATCAATGCTAGTCTAAAAGAAATGGGAGATAATGTCTAGATGCTTTTTATAGTGGAGATCAAGTTTATAAATTGCCTGGCTGGGCTGATAAAACAGTGGATTGCGAAGTGAGATGGAACAGAGTAAATAGGCATTTGAACGTCATAGCTTTAACCAGTGGTAACTTGTGGAATAGACACCGGCTGGAATGTGGTTTTAGCCAATCAGCATCCAGGATTTGACCCACCCGTTGTATAAAGTATCATTATCACTATCAACAACAAACATAGAAGTGTGTACTGTACACAAGAAGAAACATTACATACTATGGACTGGCTACAGTTGTGCTAGTAGGTAAATAAATGGTTTCCCCCCCACAGGTGGCCTCTCTTGTTGCCCATCCTGGATCCAGACTACGTAGCGAAGAAGATCATTGAAGCCATTTTAACTAACCAGGTCTACCTTCTGCTCCCAAAGAGCATGTATCTTCTCATGGGCCTGAAGAAGTGAGTCCCTTCATTTTCTTCACTCTACACTTCATGATGGGGATAGCATGCTGGGTTTAGCTATTGGTCGCACTGCCTCAATCACTCAGAGATCTGCTGCACAAACACGCACAATGACACGGTCAGTCACGCAATTCCAATACTCAGAAATGGTTACATGCTCAAAATGCACAGTATTGTCATACCCCTGGTCACAAACTGTGTTTCCTCCACTAGTAAATGCCCAGGTAGGGTGCCCTCGGTCTAGTTCTCTAGCCTGCCTCCCTGCCAGAAGTAGTTTAGCTTCAAGTCTTTCAATTGGCATAGTCCAGATCTTCCCTAGATGTCACTTTTGCGGCTTGTTTTTACTGTTCCTGAGCCTTCAAGTCTCAGACAGGATGGTGAATTATTTACTGTAGTAATTGACGAGGAAGGATAGACAGACAAACATTTAAACATCTGGTTTAGTGACTAGCAGTTGTAGTGAAACCAAACCACCCCAAGCTTTAAGTCAAAGCATTTTTATACTGTTGGTGTATGTGGACCCAAGCATTTGAGCTGGGTTGCCAAGCAACAGAGCTTTAGTATTTTGTCTATGGACGAATGCATTGCCAGGCTAAACTGTGCGCACTTATGAAGCGTGTTACTTCACTACATCAGGCAGGCTGTCAGTTCAGTTATAGTTCAAAGAAACGTGTTTTACACAAATGTTATATTTTCTCACTAAAATACATTCATGTATATGCGGTATCTTAAATTGACACACTGGTTGTTATTTGGGGGCACATATTAATGATCACAGGTTCTGGTTGAAAATGTCACTTCTGATCCACAATGGATGTTTATTAATCTTAGATGGTTAATGCACAAAGAGTGACTTAAGTGTTTATATAGTTGCTGACCTCCCCCCTTCACCGTGTCCTTATAGCTCCTTGAGGTGGAAGCAGGCAGCTCTCCTGGGGAAGTACCTGGGTGCCTTCGAGAACCCAGAGCACTGTGAGACAACAAGCCTAAAGCTGTACTGATCTTCACTTGAGCCCCTTGCACTCTGTTTGACCCACATTTAATCCATGCCCATTGTCAACACACTCACACACCCTCAGGCTGTGAATTGTGTTTTCTGTTCCATACGAAGCCATTGGGCATGTGCATCAGTGTCAGTGGCTACCGATAGCAAAATGTAGATTTTAAGTTTAACGGTTAATTCTGCATTTCACACTGTTAAGAGAGGGCTCCGAGGTGATTTCTGTTAGCATAACACTTACATTTTCCAACAGCTTGAGGTAAATTGTCAGCATTCAATTTTCACCAGGTGGGCATTGGAGGTATCAGGGAATTCAATCTGCATAGTGTTAGTGCATTATCACTAGTACTGAAGGTACATTCTGTCACTTATTTATTTGTGAAACAAAGACGTCACCCAAAGCCCTGTAGAAGGATTGTGCATTGATGAATTTGCAAACATTTGCATACAGATATATATTTTAGGGAACTAGTGAGAGTGAAGGAGTTTGTTTGTTTGTTTGTTGTTTTTGACTTCTGCATTATGAAAATCTGTCAAAGCTGTTCCACTTGGGCCTAGTACCATTGTAAAAAAATAAAATAAGGCATTGTGCATCAATTAAATACCTGTTACAGTATGTAGAAATGCACTGCACTTGGTTGTGGTTGGGTGTGAGTATCTTCACAACTTTTTATATGGCCATGATTGTAAATCCCATCGGGATATGTGAATACTTCAAGAATTATAATAAAAATGTGTGTTTTTGTAAGACGGGATGAGTCATCTGTTAGTCTACAATAATTCAGCAAACCCTCACTCATACCCAGTGCAAACCTAGTCAGCGCTAATAGTCGTTACAGGGGTGTATTTAGTGAGGGGAAACAACCTGATACATAGCTGGTATGATTCTCATTGTACGACAGACAATCATATTTTCTTATCTACACCATACATGTCTATCAGAACTTTTTGTAACGTTGTACCCTCCTGAACATGCCCCTAGTGATGGGGAAACAGTTTCTGTTGTAATGGCAGGGCCGCCCGGGTACACTCCAGGGCATATTGCATGGAGATCATATCAGTAAAAAATGTATGGGAAATATTTGATATCACGTTTTCTATTTCTTTTGCAAGGCTGTCAAAAGGTAATCAATTAGCTTTTTATTTGAGGATGTCAGTCATACACGTACAAGTACAATATGCCCATGGCAGGTATTTGCAGGTGTACATCTGAATAATATCACACTAGGGGCTCTATTCGGTCTATCACTGAAGCGTTACAGATTCCGCGATAAAATGTTAAGGTAATTTCCGATTGAGCCACCATATGCAGCGTTTATCGTGAATGCAGTCTCCAGTAACGCGGGAATGTTTCCCTTTAAATTTCAATCATGCTGTAAAGCTGAACTTCCACGATACGGATTGAATAGTGAATGTCATATACTGTACTAGGGCATGCACCAACGAAGATACAGTTCGTACTTCAAGAGGGGAACGATGAACACTGCAGACCTGAAGGCCTGGATTTGAAATCACCCAAGTGAATCTGTGCTATTCAAATATATTCTGGTTATTCTAGTGTGCCAGCCAGTCTGTAAAGTGTTAAATCCATCCACACATGTCTAAGTAATGTCCAGCCAATGTCACATCACAACACCTTGTCTTTGGCTGTGTTTACACAGTAAGCCCAATTCTGATCTTTTTTTCACTAATTGGTCTTTTGCCCAATCAGATCAGCTCTGAAAAATATATTATGTGAAAAGAACTGATGTGATTGGTCAAAGGACCAATTAGTGGAAAAAAAGATCAGACTTGGGCTGCCTGTGTAAACGCAGCCTTTGTATCTCCATAAGGCTTGCAAGTACCGGTAAACACTTACCAAGCTAGCCCAAAGGCCGGCAGATGGCGATATTGATCTGGTATTGAATGGTTCCATTTTACCGTCCAAACGCATTGTATGCAGCTAGCAATACACTCGTATTCCCGTGGACCGGTTCGTACATAAAACATTTTCCATTCAGGCTGCAAAGGCGTCGATTTCCTCCTTAACTAGATTTTAATGGCGAGAAGGAAGAAATAAATTGGGAAAATAGGATACTTTCTTTGAAACACCATTTTCCACCACCAAGCTAGTGGCTAATGCTACTTCCTGTAGCACCCTGAGTTCAGCCAGGGGTAAACCACACTGCTGCAACCTGATTGGCTGAACGCGATATGCAACACCCGGGATTAGCATTCCTAGGCATTAGCCACTTTAGCATGGTGGTGGAAAATGGTGTTTCATAAAGAAAGTATGCATATATTCCCAATTTTTCCGGCCTTCTCGCCATTAAATCTAGTTAAGGAGGAAATTGATGCCTTTGCAGCAGCCTGAATGGAGAATGTTTTAGGTAGGAACATGATCCAGGAGGATACAAGTCTATTGCCAGCTGCATACAATACGTTTGGACGGTAAGATGGAAACGACTCAAAATTGCCATCTGCCGGCCTTTGGGCTGTTGCTAATGCTTTACTTATGCATTTATGCGAATTACGGATGCCAATTAGCAGTTGCTGTTATAGAAGCACCTGGTTGAGTGGGCTGCAAGACTACATTTAGCTGGAGACAACACAGATTTATTCAGACCTACACCTGATTAGGACTGCAGTTGACTATAATTATCTATAATTATTTCCATTGCTACTTTAGTTCCTTGAGGCCTTTCAGAATGAGTCGTTGGTTTCATGTCGAATACAACACAATACAGCCATGACTAATACAGTAGACGTAATCACTCGCCACCAATTAGACTAAATGGTTAAGGCATGAAATGGCTTCTCTTATTAACATCTTAAGTAGTGCAATTATGAGGTTATTATGCCCTTTGAAATAAGTTTTGTTACTGGACCGGAAGACATTCAAACCGTGTTGATTATACCCTGAATAATTTATTGGATATTCATCAGTGTTTTCTTCTTTAATTAAGGGGTTTAATTTAGTCCTACTGTGATTACCAGTTAGCCTAACTAACATAATAGATTACTAGCCTAACTAACAGAATAGATGACTTAATGTAGTTTGTTCTAATGAAGTTCCAATGAAGTCATTTGGACTCACTTTCTATTCCAGACAATGTTTGTTGTTCTCCTAATAGGCTATAAATTGTGCATTGCAGTGATCGTTGCTAATATGTAGCTTGACTGTTGTTTTTATCACCACAGTATTTTGCCCGTCAAGCTCGGGGTTCTGCTGGGGATGTACCTGGGAGCGTTCAATTTTATGGATGCTTTCAAAGGACGCATCAAGAAGGAGGAGTAGAGAAGAGTGAAGAAAGAACAGATTAACAGCCTCTGACTCAAAGGAGATTAATAGTGCCTATCATGTTTATCTGTAGTTTTTTTTTCTCTTTTTACATGTTTTATTCTTGTTTATAATTCATTTTAGTGTATGAAGAAAAGCCTACGTACTAGTTTACTTCGGCAGACTTAGGATAAGTGTAGGCTATATTGGTAATCAAATAATTCATGTATTACCATAAAAAAAAGTTAATGGTGATATGTAACATTGTGTTTTCGTAGCATAAACATACGGTGTTAGCTCACTACATTGACATGTAAGTGTTGCTACATTTGGTAGCTATTTCACTCTTGTAACGTTCAGTGGAATACGTCCTCTTTTTTTTGGCCTGAAGATTACCTCATGCGCACACATGCACAATACACATTAGAAAAGGCTGAGCAGGTAGAGAAGCTCAGGAAACAGTGTCATGTAAAGGATCATTACCTGTGTGTACTGGACTAGTTTTGTGAAGTTAGCTAAGTCTACAGTAGCCAGATGATGGTTTACTCTATTGCCAATAGGAAAATCAATGAAGTAAAAATGCACATGCATTCACAATGACACTTTACAGAGGTGCTAGGCATAGGATCGGAAGGTTAGGATAAAATATCTTCTGTTTTGTTAGAAAATTATAAAATAGTTTGCATATACAGTATTTGTCCTCTCAACCTACCCTTTATATTTGAACGACTGAGCTGTTAATTGGTTAAAGTAATACGTTTTCCTTTGACATTGAAGAGATTACAATGTAAGCTAATCATTTTATTTCAACCATGTGTCATGTTACATTTGTTATGTGTGTAACAATGTTGGTATATGAACATTATAAATTTTTAGACATATGTTTGTGTGAAAGCCAAATGTCATGAGACATTTATTAATAGTAAAAAGTGCTTATATATTTAGCTGTAATCTTGAAAAATAAAAGTTTAATCAAAGTCTTCTGTCAGGCATTTTTTTAAATGGCTCCGGTGGTTCTGGAATGGTCACTAACAAGGGACTAAATATGGTTACTTGGTGACTGTGTGATCATAGCCCCATCTTGTGGAGAATTTAAAACCCTTTCTAATCCTGTCAATGACTTGCCTGACTAAAGGGACAGACTCTGGCTGCACAGCACTCTCGCTCGCTGTGTACCATGTCGGTCTGCGCGTCAGTCAGGCTAGTCAATGACTCCAGTTGGATTCAAACCCAGATGTCTCGAAATGCAATGGACTTCACCATTCAGCAACTGGATACATCTGGGGTAGATTTTATGTATTCATATAATGTATTAGATAATCTTTTAAACATTTGATTTAACCTCCTGACCCTTCAGTTGTTACTCAGTTTGTTGTGTCATCTGGAGAGAAGTGCAATATTGTTATCTATAGATGTGAAGTACAGTTGACTTACTGATCTTGTTTTATCATAACTGATGTGAAATAATGTTCAACTGATGCTGACCTTGGTGTAGGTTTGTATAGTCTTGTATGTAGTGTTGGTGGGATTATTTGGGACATTGCAATACTCCATTTTGTTCACTAGAGGTCACTGGGGTCATACAGAGGGGATAGACCATTATTGGAACCCTCAGAAGCCTAGCAACCTGAAATACAGTGCAACAAAAATTATAGACTGGTCCCAAAAAATGTTTTAATCTTGCACAGAATTGTATTCCCTAGACATTGATAGTTTAAATGCATTAATTTATGTGGGAATACTGTATTCCAGAACAGACATTTCAAAATGCAAATCAAAGCAGTGATTAAGGTTATCTACTAAGGTGCGCAATGCCAATACATCCCTTCCTTGGCTCTCTTGATGATTCTACGTGCTCGAAAGGCGCTGCATGGTCAATCCAACGTCTGCATTGGCCGTGCAGCATTTAATAATGACATGTACCGGGTTGCAGGTATGATTGCAGGATACAGTGAAAATCTAAGGCACCGAGCTCCAACATGCAGGACTAAGTGAAATAAAAGAATGAAAATGGTAATAAAAAAATAACACTATATACATCATAACTGTAGCAATGATGAATAAATAAATGTCCATTGGGGTGGAGGCAGAGTAAAGACTGTTGAGGGGGTGTGGGGGAATGACCATCGGGGGAGCAGCATGATCATTGAGGGGACCAAGTGAAATAAAAATAATACACATTTTAATTAAAAAAAAGTAATAATATACATATTAACAACTGCAACAGTGATGAATGTCATTGGGGTGGGGGGCAGAGTAAAAGCCAGTTGTGGGCTTTTGTGTGTTGGGGGGGATGTCCATAGGGAGAGCAGCAGGTAAGGTAAATGTCCATAGGGGAAGTAGTAGTGGGGGGCGGTCCATAGAGGGATGTTGGTCCATGCTGACGCGATGGCATCACGCAGCACATTCATGCTGCGAACAACCCATTCCATCCCATCCAAGGATGCTCTATTGGGTTGAGGACTGGGGACTGCGCAGGCCACTAAAGTAAACTGAACTCACTGTCATGTTCCAGGCGGTGTTTTTTCAATCCTCAATTGTAGAAGTGTTGGTGATCGCGTGCCCACTGGAGCCACTTCTTCTTGTTTTTAGCTGATAGGAGTGTAACCCGGTGTGGTCGTCTGCTGCAATAGCCCATCCGTGACAAGGATGGACGAGTTGTGCGTTCTGAGATGCCGTTCTGCACACCACTGTTGTACTGCGCCATTATTTGTCTGTGTGTGGCCCGCCTGTTAGCTTGCACTGTTCTTGCCATTCTCCTTTGACCTCTCTCATCAACAAGCTGTTTTCGCCCACAGGACTGTAGCTGACTGGATGTTTTTCGTTTGTCACACCATTCTCTGTAAACCTTAGACACTGTTGTGCGTGAAAAGCCCAGGAGGGTGGGCGTTTCTGAGATACTGGATCCAGCGCACCTGTCACCGTCGATCATACCACGCTCAAAGTCGCTTATGTCACTCGTTTTGCCCATTCTAATGTTCAATCAAACAGTAACTGAATGCCTTGATGCCTGTCTGCCTGCGTTATATAGCAAGCCACGGCCACGTGACTCACTGTCTGTAGGAGTGATCCATTTTCGTGAACGGGATGTACACCTAATAAAGTGTATAGATTCAACAAAAGACAAAAAAAGCACAAATTTGTTGAAATCACACTGTGGATGTATTATCCTTTAGAATTGCATTGTGGGCATACTGTATGCACTGTACAGCCTTACCTATGGATCTTGGCTCCATGAAATGGGGTATCAGCATACTCAGTGACACTGACCAGAACACAAATATTAGCATCGTAGCTCATATTAGGGAATTTTTAACTGTGGGAAATCACCTCACTACTCAAATGAAATTGTATTTGTCACATGCGCCAAATACAACAGGTGTAGTAGACCTTACTGTGAAATGCTTACATACAAGCCCTTAACCAACAGTGCAATTTAAAGAAAAATAAGTGTTAAGAAAATATTTACTAAATAAAAAAAAAAATGACGAGGCTATATACAGGGGTACCGGTACCTAGTCAATGTGCAGGGGTACAGGTTATTCAAGCCTATTGTACGTATTGAACATTAATATTGCAATGTACTGCCTTACCTATGGATCTTGGGTCCATGAAATCGGGCATCAGCCTATTCAGTGACACCAACAGAACACAGCTGTGAAGAGTTTTCACAAATATTAGTATCCTAGCTCTTATTGTAGGACTCTGAAAGCACTGTGAAATGAGCCACAAAAGATCACCAGTAAACCTACTATGTGGTTTCAGAGTCCCACAAAGTCCCACAAAGAGCTACCAAGTTATATCTGTAATCTGTTGGAGTAACTGAGTAGGCTGATACCCCATTTCATGGACCCAAGATCCATAGGTAAGGCTGTATTTTGAACATGTTATTATTTTATGGCTTCTATTTCTTGTGCAAGTTGATGAATAATACCTGGGGACATGGCAAAAACGCCTACATCGACTAAAAAATACGTGTTCAAAATGCATACATTTTTTAAAGGTAAAAAGGACACATTACCTTATATTGAAAGCCTTTTGGAATCCACATTTTACACTATTTGACACTAAATAAATAGTGATATTTCCTGGGGACAGAAAATGCACCATGTGGTAGGAATGACCCACTTATTGTCTTTTGTGGAATTTATATAACAACATTCCGACCTTGTTTGGGAATTATTTATCTAGTCCAAAAATGGCATGATTGCACTATTTCAATCCGTTTGAATCACTTTCGATGGAGGACTTTTATTTTGAAGGCGAAACGCAAATTCCACTATTGTGGCTAATCCTTATTGTGGCTAGCTTCACGTGAGAGGACCTATCCTATAAACTTGGAGCCAAATACGCGAGTGTTCATTCACTCCCAACATCCATGCCATCGCACCACTACACGACAGACAATTCCACCGTCCACAGTGAAATGGCAAGAAAAACGGACGTCCCTTCCCCTTATTACGGTGAGTAGCCTAGCCTCATTGAAGTCAAGTGTGTCACATTGATGGGGTCTGTTATTAAATAAATATGGCACATTAATAGCGTATGTAACAATAGCATAGGTGAGAAATTGTACCCTCAGATATCCTACCGGGCCGGCACATTATATTTATATGGCATAAGGTGAAATGGTGTTTTTAAAATATTGTCAAAGCAACAGGGAAAAGGGGTTTAAAGTCTATTTTTGTATGTGGGTATTATGGTGTTATTTTGACGACTAATTCTAGCGCGTGTTCTCGAGCCTCCTTGAGCGTTCCAATGTAACCCTATTCCACCTGCCATCCAAATACATTGATTAGGAAATGTTGGTCTTTGGGACATGATGAATGCTAGCTATGACATAACAACAGCCCTGCGTGAAATCGTCAACTCCGCATAAACTTAGCTTTGCTATTTTGGTCCGCCGTCCGAATCGAAGCCGCGGAGGTTAACCAATGGCACGAGCCGCTCGCCTGGATATTGCCCGGGATGCAACTTTGTTGCTAAGGACACTCTCGGCGCCGTAGATATGCAGGATGACAACTGTACTGCAACCTCATCTGACAGTGAACTGTAACGGAACCATCTGAATTGAACACTATTCATCATTCTTTAGGCTACTTTTATAGGCCATAGGCTGTATTTGAGTTTATAACTAGACGACCCAAATTATTTTATTGTTGCCCTTTGCGCACTAAACCTTGAGCACAAAACACACAGGCAATCTATACCCAGGCAAGTGCGTAGAGCATTTGATGATGATGCAAGAAAGGTTTTCTATTATAGTCAACATTAAAATGACCTTCTCTATTTTCTGAGGCGTTTCACAAAAAACATTCCTAGGCTACTTCAGGTTTTCAAGGACATTAAGCCACCACGAAACACTGTAGCCTACTGATTATTGTTACTGTGTTGTTTCATAATTACAGGATATTTCCTTCTGCACTACTGAATACCATGCTCTCTGTGACACAGTCGATTGGTATTGGAGTGCCAGCTGGATACAGCAACCTGCACTGTTTTGGAATGCAATCTCATTCTGCTCAGTGAAGAGAATCTGACATCTGTCAACTATTGTCAGGTGTGCATCAGAGGAGACTGGTGGGAGGTGCTATAGGAGGATGGTCTTATTGTAATGGCTGAAATGGAATGAATGGGACAGAATCAAATAGTGGTTTTCATATGTTTGATGTGTTTGATACCATTCCATTTATTCCATTCCAGCCATTACAATGAGCCTGTCCTCCTATAGCTCCTCCCACCAGCCTCCTCTGGTGTGCATGTGTATAGTCTGGCATTTGAGTGAGAGGGTTGGATGTGCGCCAGACCAGTATTAACCAGTATTATGTTCACTGGCCTGAATGCCTCATTCCTTAGCAGTGGGGAAGTGGTTTTCTCTCACTTGAACAATCCATTGTTGGAGGCATTGAAGCAGCAGTGCAGGTGTGAGGGTGAGGTGTGTGAATGTGTTCTGGGGTAGAGCTGGGCGATATGGACA